TATAAACCTATCACCATTTTACTGATTTTTAACGTTATTCATATTTTCACTGTCTTCATTCTTGATGGTATTCATGTTCTTTACCGTTTCTTGTTTTGTTGCACTATCATTAGTCCTTACAAGGTTTATATTTTGTATTTTGTGTTGGCATCATTTTGTGACTGTGAATTAAAAGTTTTAATTCCATTAATGACAATTGAAAATAGAGAATATTGAATATAGAAAACAAAATAATTGGTAAAAATAAATAGTAATATAATAAAAAACCAAACATAAAAATAAACATGTAAACTCACCCAAGAAGCAATATCCCACTCGTAGTATGTGAACGGAGAATACTGGACTGTACAGGATTGGGGCTGGTAACTGTGAGTGACTGTAATTTTCTAATATACATTTTAATATACGGATCACAATATGACGCAATTACAATATTTTAATATTTCACTTAAGTGTATTATACAGGTAATCCATGATAATGTAATTCACATACTTACCACCTTCACACAACAGAACATAATTTATATCTGTGTTAGCAAAAATAAAATTGTTTGTAAGGATATGAACTGGATTCATGAAACATAGAACAGGGTCTAATGACAACTTCTTGCAGACACTGAAATAAACATCTAAGTTCCATAAAATGACTAGGTCAATGACAAAAAGCTTCTCAAGTACTCTGCTCCATGCAGCTACTTGGATATCTGTCAATAAGTATAACATCGTTGTACTTTTTACCGTCCACAAACCGAATACGGTGCATTCACAAGTAAAGACGAATAATTCCTGTTCAATTAGGTCCTTGAAAATTTCCTCAGCCTAGTGGTTCAGATCTGGAAGTGCAGGGATGTATTCACTTTAGTAGGCCCACTAAACATTACAGTTGAATAGTTAGTACTGCCCCCCCGCCCCCCTTAAAGGGGATTGCCAGAATTACTTTACTGAGGCCACGATCGTCCCAGGCCGGGGAGGTGGTACGGCTTCGGGGAGGCTAAAGCGGTGAAAAGTCAAAAGAAAACCAAATGAAACTACTTCGAATTATTATTATTAAGTGTTCTGTCTTACGACAGGTCCATTGCTCTGCCCAAACAGAGCTCTCCAGTTGTCCCTATTCTCGGCTTCTCGCTTTAATTCCTGGAACGTCATCTTCTTTCCTTGTTTAAGGTCGTCGGTTAGCTGTATCAGTCTTCTTCCCAGTCCTCGCTTTCCTTCAACCTGGCCTTCGATGATATCACTCAGTATACTTCGAATAATCGAAGTATATTATTTAATGAAAAATATTTAAATATAAGATAAACAGAACCAAGACACCTTTCAGGGCACACACTCCGGCTGGGTATGCGACTCCAGATGCCCAACTCAACCCCCACACACCCTGACTTGCCTTCCGACTTTCTCCTCGAGTCGTTCTCTCTCTCCGGCGGACACACACAGGCTGTCCTTCTGCCCTGCTGTCTGATCAGGGTTTCGAAGCCGCCGACTCCAAAGAACACGGAGAGGGGAGACAAGCCACTTCGAGCCATGAGGCATGGCTCGGTACTAGTGCTTCATACTCAAGATGTTCAAGTTAAAATATGGCTCCAGATGTCTTGAGGTTTTCCATGCTTTTTTCTCAGCTTCTCCAGGTAAATACTAGGATTGTACCTTAAAATAATCCATGACCATTTCTTTCCATATCCTTTGCATTTCATCACCCTCAATCCTACCTAACCACTCGGAAATCCAAAAGAATTCTATGGTGAAATAAACTGGGGAATCAATGGCTAATCTTGCCTGTAGGATGACTTGTATTATCCAACTAAACGTCACCTTAAAACCAACGATCTAACATGTCATATAAGCCGCAGGATTATTATCACTTGCCTGAATAGGAAGTACGAAACCTCACAATAGTGAATGCCGACACATGAAGCAGGCTATAGTACCAAAAGTAGTAATTCTGTTTACGCCAAATTACAAGTCAGAATGACAGAAAAGTAAGCCCCTACCTGATATGTGTTGCAATTTCCAACACACCGACTGTAGATTCTGTTTTTATTTTACTGCTGTTCCAATGAAATGAGTTCTCATGAGTTTTGAGAATTTATTGTGCCCATTGTTTACTGTAATATACTGATAATCTAAATCGGAAAATTTGGCAAATTTTATGTCTTGTAGTGTGTTTCTGTTTAAGTGGCAGCCATCAAATAACATAGGCCACAATTTTGTGACTGTTAGAAAGTTCTGAATTTTGTACAGAAATGTGTCCAGTGGCTCAGAACAATGCTCCAAGAATAAGTAGAGTCCGCCCTGAAAAGAATCAAACATCCTCCTTTACACCTCAAATTAAGTCACATTAAAACTAACCCTTGTTGCAATCCATTAATACAGCTGCTTTCGCAGTGTGTTCAACGACTCACTTCTAAATATTATTTTTTTAACATGGTTACTTACACAGAGAAATAGTGATCTATCTATTCAGTGTCATATTCAACAGTTGGCACTGTGTTGCGGTAAAACTAACCTCACAGTTTGTCAATAATATTTTGTTTACTATGGCTACTGACCAAGTAAGAGACAGCATTATACCATTAAAATTCACTGCATTCTAACTTCAAGAGTCCTGTAAATTTCAGTTATCTTTATATACTACATTTTGATACATTGAGTTGGACAGGGGATATTTTAATTTTACCAAATCAGATGTGGTACAGGGTTTGAGAAAGGCATGGATGATAAATTATTCTTAACACTTCTATAACCATTTCCAATTTCTGCTCACCGGAACTAGGATCCTTTTAATCTCGCTAAGAACTAGATTCACTCTGTCTGCAGAGCAGAGGATGAACGTTCCCACCACTGCATCCACACTGTTGTCAGCAATGGGTTCTAGATTCCATTCCGAGGATACAAAGAGATCTTCTATGCTCACATTATTTGTAAGACCAGGGTTTGAATCCAAATATGAATGAATGTACAAGTTGCGATCAACCACAATGACATGACTGTTTTTAGGGTAGTACTTGAGATTTTCTCCTGAAAAAAAAACACTCATGATCACTTCAAATTTGAAAATATTCCACAACAAATAGGTGAATTACTAATTAAATTAAGAAAGTCTTGTGGATATGATTATGTTACGACTAACCTGTCCGAAAACCAATCTCCACAATTCGGATCAGTCCTTTGTTCTTGAGTTTCCAGTCTGATGACACAACATCATGAAGGGGCAGAAAGAGATTCTTCTTGTGAACAACCATAATTCTCTCATATGATGTATCAAAGCTTGACACAAGTCTTGAGAGCAGTTTGTTCCTCATAGTAGAGAAATGTTTTGTTATGCAGAGGATCAAACTTACAACACTGATCACTGGCAAGCCATATGCCATAAGGTACTGAAGCACTGTGATATCAAATGCACTCATTCTTGCACTTCTGAAATTAAATGAAAATTTATAAATGCGCTTTGCTGCTGTTGTTGGACCCTCAGTCAGTAAAGATAAGAAACTCAAGGTGAACTATCTGTTATTTATTTGTCTTAATAAATTATTTTAATTAAAAATTCTTCTTGATTAACAACATCCATTGACAATTTCCATCTTGAAAACTCAAAGTCCTCACAACTTTCAAACAGTTTAAAATAGCAACTACATCTGTATTATGTACCTGAGAGGTGATATACTTCTCCAAAACACTGGTGACCACCTACAAGAATACAGGTTATCAAAATACCTAGGACCATAATCTACATTTATATTATTATAGCTTCCATAATAATGACAACAGAATACCACAACACTTTCAATTTAATAACTGTGACAAGTCATAACAGCCAAGACCGTAAGTGATAAAAGCACAGAATACAATAAGGAATAAATTAGGTTAGACTAAGCTAAGCCAATCCAACCCCATCTAACTGCTTATGTTTGTGGAACCGGAAGGTTCACTACAAAATCAACCACTGATAAATATCTACAGCCACCATATTCCAGTTTGCCAAATTTCCCTTAAGATCCAATTCAATATTATCTGGAGACCTGTAAAATGCTTTTCCTTTAGTTTTTCTGACAAGACTTTTCTTATGCATTTCCCATTTATAATACATGTATGCCATGTGCCTTGTTCACCTATCTTCCACTTTAACACTATATAAACTAAACAAATTACAAAACTCCTCACTGTGTAATTTTCTGTTCTTCTATTACTTCCACTTTCTTGGGTTCAAATATTTCCCTCAACACTTGTATTTAAAAACTTTCAAATAGACTGCAGACCTAAATTCAGACTATAGAAAATGTAAAGTTATCCCTGATGGTTAATTAGGCAATATGCAATTAAGATTTAATGGCAATTCGTAGTTGTAAGATTCCCACTTCGAATCTCGAACTGGAAACGGACGATCTAAAGGATAAACAACGAGCCCTCCGACTAACATTCCAAACATCCATAAGATTTCCCGCTCATGGTATTATACACGCCATTAAACAAATAAGAAATGGCATGGCACAGTGATACAGTTTACAAGGTTACAAAGAATGTCCTACAGGAAGAGTTAAAACAAACATGCATTATAAATTTCATGAAATTCCTGATTGTTATTTACCCAGTTAATTCCACATACAAGCATGCATGCGTCCAAGGAGTTACTTTAACGAAGAAAACTGTATGTTACATTCGTTAATACCTCCATTACATTACCGCTACGATTACTTACGGTCATAGATGACACTCTGCCGCAGATATACCATACAATCAGACTTCACTATGTAGAAGTTTTGAAATTAGTTCCTTGGAATTTCTTAGAGGAACTATTTAGACACCATTAGTCTTTCTTGCTAGTGGTTTAGTAAGCACACGACCAATACGTGTAAAGTTTATATAATTTGTGGGAAACTTTACTACTACAGTAAATAGTTTGAAGGTATTCCAACTTTTACAAACATAACCTCTCGTATTTAGCCTTATGATTTTCCATTTCATGGCTTTGTGAATGGTAGATTTTGAAGTGCTTGAACCGGTTGTATGAAACGCTTTAACAAATACATAAAGTTGTTGTGATGTCACATGAAATAGGTTAAGAACACTATTATGGCGTTTGTGAGATTTGAAACACAGCTAGGAAGCTTTCCTTTGAATATGATGGCCAATCTTCATCTACAACAGATACCGGCAATCCATATTGCCACACTTGCTTTATTTATTTTCACTTCAAAGAGTAGCTAATGTACCGCCCCCGCGGCCCCAACCCCACACACACACACACACAGGTAAGCAGTATCGTCAGGTGCTGCCATCTTCAAGCGAATCATGAGTTCTATAGAAACAAACTTCGATTGCTCGATTGCTTTCGTTGTCCTGTATTAAAAAATGACGCTGAGTCCTAAGAAGGATCTGTGGAATGTACATAAACTCTACTCTAATCTATACCGTCTTTGTTCTTGAAAGATTAGCTGAAACCAGCATTTACATGCATTTATCAGTCTGTCCCAATTAAGAGCTTTTGAATCAAGTCATGCACGTGATACCATTCGTTAAATAGTACGAGGTGTAAAGGACAACTTTGGAACGTCTGTGTTCTCCAGAAAGAACTCCTTTTAAATTTTATTTACGTTTTCGTAAACTACAGAGTTGTAGAAAATATTAAAATGGCAGCAAAAATAAAAAATCGAGCACTCAGATATAAAAATTAAGATTTTAAGTGAGTGCAAGTTTTGGGCTCGGTATTAAAGTTATTTAATTAAACTTATATATATATATATATGAAATAATTATTAACGATGTTATTTTATTAAAATGTATTAAAATGATGTTCTCTATCGAAATATTTGATTTACATTAGAACATCACTTTTCACACGACATGTTTCAGTTCCAAATGAACTATCTTCAGGTTTATAAATGCATTTAAAAAATTATATTTAAGTTTATATAATTTATACACCTGAAGATGGTTCTTTTAGAACTGAAAAATGTCGTGTGAAAAGTGATGTTCTAATGTAAATCGAACATTTCGATGAGAACATCATTTAATATATTTTAAATATTTAAATGTTAATTTTAGTAATATTTTAATATTTAATAGGAATTTTATTGTGATTAGACTGACAAGATTTAAACAAATACATGTTCTTATGTCTATAATATATTCTATTAGTGCACATAAACTATTTAACATCTTTTGAATTAAACAACTTTTCTCGGGAAGCATTCCGGTCCACTGTCTCTTCGAAATATCTCCATTTGGCTCTAGAGTGATATTAATCCTCTGCCCCTGACATGAATTTGAAAGCTTGGTTTGTTAATAATACTGATCCTTAACCCGATATTCGTCTGTACATTTTCAGTACGTAGTTTGTTACAGAAGCATTCCGTCACTAGGATGCTTCTTAGCACCGTGAACAGGTTATGAGATTCGGTAAGAGCACATTTGTAAGATGCGAAACACATATGAAAGCTCGAACGTAAACCGCATCGGACAGGATTAGTTTCCTGTTTCATCTCATTTACATTTGAAACAGGAACCAGACAGATTAGCGCCTGGCGTGTTCTTTTGTTTGTTGCTGCTGGAGATATTCGAAGACGAAGTGTGAATTGGCTACGACTTATTTTAATGTATTTATCTCAATCTCTGCTTGGTGTAAGCACATCTCTAAATGTCCTCTTTCGAGTTGAATAGAAAAAAAATACCATGTTAGGTTTCTGAAATACACAGGAAGACACGATGGGAAAGTTTTATGGACCACTAACGGCTTTCATAAAAGTCATTCATTGGATGTTATTCTGAGCCAGCTGGATCCAGTCAACATCTCCACACTAAATCTCTCTCAGATTATGTCCAGGTCTTCTTAGTAGGTAGACTCTTCTTTTGCAGTTTTCCGACAAAATTTTTTACATATCTAATATACATTTCTTCGTATGTAAATTACCCAGCAAGCTCATCCATTCAAATTTATTTTCAACAATAATTTAATTAGGTACGTGAAGAACAGAAATTGTGATGATTTTTGTGTCTCTCTTGTGTGAAACTCGGTAAATTACTGCCTATAGGCCTACAGACTGCGGTTTTATAGCTTTCATCAGTCTCTCTCTATATGAATGCCAACCTTTCCAAACATTCACTTACTATTTGTCATCTTCCCAGGACATTCGAAGCTAAATAACCTCTACATTTATGGCATTTCCCACGTGTTCTAAAACCCCTGCCTAACCATTCAAAGTATCGCAAATAGATTTCACATAATATAATTGACAAATATTTTGAGAAAGCTATCATATCTTTTTGCACAATGCAGTCCATGGTTTTCGGCTAATTTCATCTTCAGCGTAAGACCGTAAGGACAAAACTTAATAAGATTAAATCCGGTAACTTCTAGCCGAATAACCTCGCACGCATAAATTAATCAAACTTTCGCTGTTCTGTATTGTGACGCCGTCTGGTTACCATGGTTATCGACGTTCTGGAGAAAAATGTCGCTTTCAATTTCCCCGAAATATTGGTAACCATCTGCAAGACCATACGACGTCATAACCCAGAAGACAACGAGCTACATCTCCAAAGGCGTAACAATATAAAATCTCAGATTCATGAAAGAGGTTTTAAATATTAAATTCTGTAGACAGATAGAACATCACAATCACGCTTTCACTGCATAAATCTCCTTTCTGGGCGCTCTGATTTGACAGAGAGGATTGTTTTTACAGATGTGCGGTTTCTTTGTCTCTGATCCAGACAGGAGAATCCTTACACACGTAATTGACAGCCAACACAGCGAGCTACGTAACAAAGCGACATAATTCATTAAGGGAATCAATATAACAGCCACTGCTTCAGAACTTGAGGGTTCAGTGGTCATCGGACTGACTGACCTAACGGCTGACCGACGGACCGACAAAAGATCAATGGGTTTTCAAAACAAACGTCTTCTGTCATTCAGTAAGAGGCGAGATTTTCAAGGTTTCTACGGTGGCAAAAATGAGATGTTGAGCTCTGTAGTCTGGTAGAAGTTTGCCGACGTTTCAGAGATGTTTGCTGGCTCCACCATCAGGGCGAAGGCTCTGATGATGGAAGCATCAAGCTCCATTTCAACCTTAGCAAGTAGATAGAGTGAGTGGATAACTTCAGGCTCCAGCTACTTTAAGACGATATCCTTTGGCTGGGAGGCTGGTCTAGACACGGTGAGTTCGAAGATGGATGTCTTCTGGGTTGCAGCGCCGTGTAGTCTGATAGAAATTTACCAACGTTTCAGAGGTCTTTGCTGCCTCCATCATCATGGCACTCAGATTATACGGCTTACTCAATCTTCTTGTAATTAAAAAGCCTTCCTTTCACCATCTGGGTATTCTTCAAGATACAACTTAAGAGCCTAAGAATACGAAAGCGTGAACCTAGGTCCGAATTGCGGTAAGCCGCGGACTTCAGTTGCTACATTGGGACAGGATCCTCTTCACTTCGATGGCTTCCTGTCACCAGTTGCCAGGTTTACCGGTCAGATTAAATTCTTGAGGTTCGTATCGTACATATTAACATAAATATTTTCGTGTTGGGATTATAGAAACCTGTCAGGCAGCCGGATTACTGGACTCCTTGTCCTCAAAACTCACTCACCCGCATCGCATTTCCATGGTTCGTCCTAGTCGCTACAAGCATGAATCCAAAGATGGCTGTCTTCTGGGTTGTGCCGGAAAGACCATATTCCATCATAGCGTTATAGACGCATCAAAACACAGAACTAAAACAACCTGGAAGACCACCTAAAGTGGAAAAAGTTGTACACAAAATTTAGAAAGACCCTTTTTCCGTTACAATATTTATGATCGTTTATTGCAGGTACTGATGTCAAAGCTAGAAAACATATATACAACAGTCCGTACAAGACTTTTTTTCATTTATTGAACATTTTGCTTACTTCATGTGGAAAGAAAAGGCTTCAGTTCCCTGAGTCTGTCTTCGCTGACATAACCAACGAGAAATCTGAGAGAGGACAGCCTTTATCCGGATCGAGTTTCGAGCCCAGGAACTTCAGGATACGAAGTATACAGGGACATTCGGCCACGTTCACAAACATGACTCAAGTAATTGACATATACAACACTTACAAGAAAGAAGGTAATAATTTGCCGCGTTATAAAAATCGTCCCGAGAGCATTCATCAATACAAATATTTGCAGTTATTACACTACGTTTTCAAAGTAAATCTGATCTGGTAGTCTACGTTGATAATGAACAGCTCCACTGTCATAGAACGGGGTGTCTAGTATGAAGCTGAGACTGTGGAGTTGGTATTAAAATAGTATAAAGTTGAAGAGATCCATTCTACCGTTTACGTATTTATTTTATTTAGTTTTCTGTCTGACGACAGGTCCACATGAACAGGATCCTTCCATCCTTTTCTCTTCTCGGACTGGGACCTGTTCATATACGTTCTTGGCAGATGATCCAGAAGTGGTTTGCCATTGCCTTCTTCTGGG